AAACCGATATTTTCAATCGATATCGATCGATAGCATGTGACCTGATAGAATTTCGACTTTTACCACGGCCCCAAATCAACACTGCGATTCCCGACCTCATTCGAGCCCTCTGCGCAAAAACCGATATTTTCAATCGATATCGATCGATAGCATGTGACCCGATAGAATTCGACTTTTACCACGGCCCCCAATCAACACTGTGATTCCCGAACCTCATTCGAGCCCTCTGCGCAAAAACCGATATTTTCAATCGATATCGATCGATAGCATGTGACCCGATAGAATTTCGACTTTTACCACGGCCCCAAATCAACACTGTGATTCCCAACCTCATTCGAGCCCTCTGCGCAAAAACCGATATTTTCAATCGATATCGATCGATAGCATGTGACCCGATAGAATTTCGACTTTTACCACGGCCCAAATCAACACTGTGATTCCCAACCTCATTCGAGCCCTCTGCGCAAAAACCGATATTTTCAATCGATATCGATCGATAGCATGTGACCCGATAGAATTTCGACTTTTACCACGGCCCCAAATCAACACTGTGATTCCCAACCTCATTCGAGCCCTCTGCGCAAAAACCGATATTTTCAATCGATATCGATCGATAGCATGTGACCCGATAGAATTTCGACTTTTACCACGGCCCAAATCAACACCGTGATTCCCAACCTCATTCGAGCCCTCTGCGCAAAAACCGATATTTTCAATCGATATCGATCGATAGCATGTGACCCGATAGAATTTCCTGCCTTTACCACACCCCCAATCAATACTTTAATACTTGAATTAATCGCATTTTACAAACGCAGAATTTAGCGTTTTTTTTTCTACAGAGTTTGGAATGAGCACCATCCAGCCCCGCCCATAAGGGCGGCTCCGCCCACTACCGTATCCATTTTTAACGAACCGTACACACCCCAGGGGCAAAGTCCTACCCATCCGGGACCATGCCCAAGTTGTTTTCTTGGGTCTACGTAACGTGAGTTCAGTGGTTACAAACAAACAAACAAACAAACAAACAAACAAACAGACAGACACACCAAACAGCTGCTTTATATATAGAGGGGATAGTTATCGTAATAACTTCGTATAATGTATGGTATCCGAATGTGACGCGTTTGCCTAACAGTGAGTGGAAGCCTCGAAAAAACCCCACAGTATGCTGGTAATTACCTCCCTACGGATTTCCTGCAAAGAAATCTGGAAGAGGACATTCTCAGCTCGTTTCTTCTCACCTAATACGTTAGCTCAAAAAATTCAAGATCGGAGAATGGCGAGAAAAGGGATCCGGTTTTGATTTACTGTACACTAATTTTTGGAATCAATGTGAAGACATCTATGGGAATCGATCCCATCCATTTATCTTCGCTGAAGTGGTGTAAGACAAGTGATACTGCTTGCCACGCGCGCGGTACCGGATCGAATCCTGGATCGTACGTCATGCGGTCTCCAACCCAGCCTCCATCACTCTGGGATCAGCGATTATCACTACTTGTGTGGGAAGATGAAAACACTGCCTTTACATCGGCTGGCCTCCGAAAATCACTATGTAGGATAAACTTGCGTTCAAAATGCACGCTGCAATGTCTGAATGGAACGGTAGGTACGTGGCCGCGAGTCGCGAAAGGTTTGGATTGGTCAAGCGTCGATGTTTCCCTTTTATTCTTCGAATGTTTATTTGGTCAAAGAAAAGGCCGAATATAACGTCGGAAGAGAATTTTAGCCGCGTGCGCTTGTCAAGCTCGTCGCCTTTACCACACATATCACTTAGGTGACCCAACGCCATTACGATACCAAACCAGTGAATTTTTCATTGGTTTATGATCTTAATCTGAAGAGAAATAGTGTCAGGATCAGAAACAAAACAAGACACTTTCAGTAATAGAGAAGGCAATAATCGAAACAACAGGAACACAGTTGGTAATTAATGATAATGTAAAACAATATTGCGCTATTCTCGACTAGATCACAAATACCTCTGAATAGCTACAGTATAGGAGCTACTACAACTACAATCCACAAAAAATGTACACAAGGGGAACCGGTAATCTGAGAAAATGGCTTTACGTGCGTTAGATGTGAGATATGCTGATTTCACAACAGACAGATGTGGAGCATTAAAGACGAAAGTGACAGAATATGTCCGGAAGCCGCCGGTGAAAGCCCTTGGATGCCAAGGAATACGACACACACACACGAAAACAGAAATGATTGCAAACGAAGCACCCGGATCCTCAAAAACCGTGACTGAAGCGCACAACCTTGGCAAAATTTTCTCTATGAAGCATCAACAGGAGCAATCTTAAACGTTTCGCCAATAACTGGGCTGTTGATTTCTGCCCAAATCCATTCGAAGCACCGTTGCTCCAGAGGGTGTGACTTCGGTGGTGAGTACGGACGACGAGCCGCCATCAGAATACGCCGAGTCGTCGCTCATTTTGGAAGACGGAGGGGCGAATTACTCTTGATGGGGTTGTACCCTGAGGAGGAGGTGGTGGTGGGGAAAAGTCCGGTGGGGGACGATGATGGAACACCTGAGGCTGATAGACGGAGTCCAGATCGCTTCCACGAATCATCGACGTATCAAACGGAGGATAATGCACGGCAACGCCTGGGTGAGGGAACGAGGAGGCCATACGGGGTAACATATGGCCCGGTACCATCTCTCCATACGCAATCGTTGCGTAGTCGTAGGTTCCTGCCAAGAATACGCTATCAGCTTTGTGAGAAGGCAGAAGACACCTGAGAAGAATGGACATACCATTAGCTTGTGATGGATGACGCTGATAGTGGTGCACAAGTGGTTGTTGAGGGTAGGCCGAGTTCATAGAGGAATCCAATCCTCGAGGTGATGTGTGCATCTTCTCGGACGTGGGATACTGACTGAAATGGGCTTATTCAGTCAGATGTCTCAAAAGCGAGCACGATGGGGAACCCGTGGAGAGGGGTCTAGCCGCAGTGATTTGGGCCCACTTGAAGATGCAGCCCTAATTTGAACAAACTGCGCGCGGTCAGCTGACAAGCTCTTCACAACCACAGAGGATAACATATCTCAAACGCATGGCAAGGCGCGCTCAAGGGTTCTTATGCCCTTCATTCATGGTATACCTCCATTTGCAGCCACCACGCGTTGCAAATCACGCTGCGGTCTGCGTCTCACTTGTCCCCTATGCCCTCTCGTCTACAGGTCTGTTTCCATGCTTTGGCGCCCATTGTTATCAGGAAAATATTTGTCACAAAGTATCAAAACTGTCCACCACCACAAGAAAGGAGGATTTAGTTTTTGGGTGTCTTTCAAATCTTTGCGTTGCGGGTCGTTATTTTTGACACTTTTCATATTTCCTGTTCGAGGCAACAATCTACCTATGTGGGTTTACGCGAGCTTGCTAGCCTTTAGCGCACCAGACATTTATGGCCTAAGCCAGTCCACTGAAGTTCACATATTACAACGTTGTTTTTTTTTTCAAATCTGACGATAATGTCGTATTTCAAGCTACCTTCTAAGTTGTTGGGGACCAAACTGATCGTTCTAAAGACGGCCCATGAGGTAAGAAGTCACCTGAGACTTTTAGAGACTTTTCTTTCAAAGCTACAGAAGCCTAGTAACAAGAAAAAACTCGAACTCACGATGAATTCGCTGCCACTCCTCTCTGACGGGGACATGGTCCCATGTTTTTGTGGATCTCTAGAGGTGTTCCGGGAACTGGAACTAACACACGGGAGATGGTGATTGTTGCACCATCGCAAAACATCGTATCGCATCTGCAAAGGAATTTTTTGAGCAGCAATAAAGTGACTAACAACCGAAATGATGATGCTCTTACCTTCTCTGAGAACAACACATGGAACAGGAAGATGAAGAGACCCTGAAGGGAGTTCGCAATTGTGTGAATGCGCATAGCCCAGGCACTATCGAATGTCCATCGTCGATCCACAACAATCCACACGTCCAGGTGACACCGAGAAGGCAAACCAAACCCATCGCTCCTTTGACCCAAGTCCTGAAAAGTCAGTGGAATAATATTCCCGAAACTTACGTTGTTTGGAATTAGAAAAACCCAAATTGTTGTAGAATATGCATGTTGAGCTTGGGTAGGGTCAACGGCTTGTTTGGCCGAGGCAGACAAGGGGAGCCCATCTTTCTGAAACAAGAGTGGGAGAGTAAGAAGAGAGCGTGTTCAACGAAATGATCCGCAATTCGTCATTGCATAGAGAGTGGAACTTTCCTAAGGGGACAGGGAGAAACTTCACAAATCGTTCAGAAGAACTTGGAAAACTTTCTGAAAACACTCTGAATTGCTCGCCTTTCGACCTCCACTTCCGTTCACAAGGAGGAGTTCATACCACTGCTGCAATGGTTAAAACTGCGACATTCTCAAAATTTCTCCGAATTCGCCAATTTTTTTTGTATTTTCGGAAAAACCAGTAACAATCAGTAACCCCTGCTTCCTCCTTGTGCAAAAATGCGTGCAAACTCGAACGGCGGTAGGCTGAACCTGATGTGTTCCTAGATATGGGGCCAATTTCTCACCTGATATCTCCTCCATTGTCCGTCGCATGCCTACAGGGAATATACTTCGCATGTCTGTATACGATACACATGGTCATGAATAGGAACATCGTGTTCGTCAACAGAATCACAGCTGCCGGTGCCACAAAGAACAAGATGAAAAGGTTGTCCGTACGTAACCTAAACAGGAACCATCATCAGTTTAAGTGGATGTTCTAGAGAAAAGCATCTAATAACTAACCAGCAATGGTTACGTGTTCCGAAGCCAGTCGGATCGTAATAAGCGGCTGCCAGAGTGATGATAGCCGGTAGGCCATAACCAACTAGGAAAAAGGTCAATCGGCGTCGTGAAGCAGGGAAAACCTGGAAATTGGTACGTTCGCTGGAGGGCAAACTAGTTGACAATCCAGTAAGAAGAAACGCATCTGATGGACATTAAGAAAGACCGGAAAAATCACCTCAACTAGCATTTGATAGAGCTGGTAACCTTCAAGTAACATCCAAGTCAGGGCCGATAGGAAGAAATACAGCAGACAACCCGCAATCATACCACATTCGAACTGAAATCCGTCTCATTATTACTTTCAAATTCATTTTTTTAAATCAAAAACCATAGCTGAATGCTAGAAAAAAGTCGCACCTTTTCTTCAGTTCTCCAAATTCCTGCCAGAAACACCACTTCAGCTATAGCGAGAGATGCGCAGAGATTTTTATGAATGAACACCCTAAATTGATTGGAACCTTAGTATATACGAATCACAGCAGCGACTAAAAATTCGAAGAAAACCGGACAAAATTCACATGAAAAGGAAGTGTCATACCTGTCGCCTCCTCCTTTGACGAAGAAAACGAAAGCAGAGGAATGTCAGAGTAAGGCAGACTATCGACAACGTGCAACCGGCATATGTGAGAAATGTGAGAAGTTGATTATCCGTGGTAGAAATCTGCACAACAGAATTATTAGAAAACACTTAAGAAAAAACTTCTGAAGAACCTAAAGACACATTCTGCGATCAAACGGGTGTGGGTTATTATGTCCGAAAATGAAAATAAGTATCGCAGCTGGTCTATAAGTGATGAAATAGGGCAAACGAAACTGTTGGGAGCCCTCAAATCCCACTGCGCCGCTGGCCGTACGGGCGGAGTTGGGCATCCCCGCTTACTTTCTCATTGGTTGGTTTCTCCAAACGGAGGGGTAACAATACTTCATGGAAAGTAGGGCTAGGGCGCAAACTCCGCCCACGAAGTTGGCGCACAATTCGATTGAGGAAATTCTTGAGGATTTCCTTTTGCTACTTCATTACTGACCAATCGATTGCAACATAAACATCTACTCAATCGCAGAATGCCTTGAACGCTTCCAATCGATCATAAAAATTACCTCATGACCAACATAATCCATCAGAACAGCGTAGTGAGTCATATGGTTGCAAGCGCATACGGTATGAGTAGAGTTATGTGACTGTAGAGCGCAGCCGCTCGTAGACCACTAGAATTAAGCAGGTGATTGATGGTCTGTCACACGCAACAGCACTGGACTTACCTTCATCTCCTCAGTATCCCACCACGAGCACTCCGGCGAGGTCATTCGTCGTAAAGCTTCAGGGTAGTGATGGAATGTAATGATTACCTGAAAAGAGTCAAGTCAGTTCTCTATCCTATTGAGGTATCTTTGTGTGAAATAATGAGGGAGACCTTAACGGGTTATTCGACACGCAAAGAAAAAAATGGCGGCGAGACCGGGCTAAATTATGAGTCAACCGGGGAGCTGGCCGTCGAAGTGTTTCGAAATTAAGCCGATCTTTCTGAACATTAATGCGTTAACCCCACGAGGGGGGAGCCTCCGTCCTACTTCGGGCTGGCCATGGTGGGCTGCATACATAAATTAGTCCCAAACATCGGGAACCTGGCACACCCTACCCTCCAAAATTGCTCACATCGAGAATATGTGCCAACGGGTATCGCTACTGTAAAACAATACTCCTAATTCCTTCTTACTTTTGCGATGTACCCACTTTTCAGGGAAACTCCAGTCTTACGGAAAGTCCCAGTGTTTATTTTTTTTTACCCTAGCACTATAATCTGAACCAGGACACACGTTTACCCTCCAAACTCTTTGCTTCTAATTGAGATACGATGCCCACTCCCTGATCAGCATTTCCGCGCCCTCCCGTCGCAGACCAATAAGGGTTACCCTGCAAGCGACATACCACACGTGAGAACCACATGATTTCTATTGTAAAAAATCTAACCGTGAGGCCTACGTCATTTAAAATAACGTAGTCTTACCGGCTTGGGAAGTACTGGTAGCCTTATGGTTTTGCCATCGAGAACGATTGAAGCGGCCACCACACGGGAGACGACTCGACGACGTCGTTCTCCTCCAGTCGGTAGCTGTTCAGAAACGGGCAATTTCTCCACAGGCGGCTCCATTTCATCACCAATATTCGCAAAGGATGCATAGTAAACTCGGGCGCGATCTGCAACCACATTCACATTACCATCACTGGTAAAAAGGTTACCCTGCTACCAGGCAGGCTTATACTTAGCACTCTGCTTAACCATGACATAAACTGCCAGCGTTAAATACAGATACTCAAGTGCTCACAGTCACAAAGACACTTAGCAGACGGTGACGCACCCAATCCTGTCAATTCAAGGGCTTCTTTCGGAATATCCACACTGTCCACGTTGTTTTCGCCTGCCCACAGGGCCATCGACGGGAAAAGGAAGTAACTCGACGGTTGGGAAGAAGTCTGTAACTACTGCATTTAGAGGTATCAGCAGAATAAGCCATAAACTCGACGCACCCTGATACTTTCGCTCATTTCAGTCATCACCAACGGCTGCACGTAGTTCTCCGACGAATGGACCGTAGTTGAGGCAGAGGTCATCGCTCGTTCGACACTTGTCAGAAGTCTTGTGGCGAACGTGTGACGCTTCATTGACGGCCAGTTCTGCCACATTTCCTTCGCTCGAAGGGTATTATGAACGACGTTCACAATGAGCTGCAAAAGAACTCGTTCGTGCACTGGAAAGGTAGAACCAACTAAGAAAACGTTCACGTACCTGATTCACCAGCTTTTGGCTGCTTTTCGCCCACAGCTCTCTGCCGACCACATCTTGAACGATGTCAAGAATATTTAGAAGCTTTGGCAGATCTCCAGCTACCATAGGTCTCCGTGTGTCAGAGGTCATCGCGCGCAGAAGCTGAAACGATAGGATTCAGGCCAAAAACTCAGGTATAATAGCATCAGCACTAAATATAGCTCCAACCACCCCCTCACCTCCGGGATTCCACTCGCATCCTGATCTTTTATCGTCTCTTCAAGCGCGTCATGTCGTTGGATGGTCCAATCACTGCGGCATTCCAAGGTATTCGGACCAGGTTCTGACCATAGCCCTTCGGCAGAGCATCGCCAGGAAGAAGTTCCTTAAACGGACAGAATTTGAAGAGCGATCTTCATTCAACTATCCTTATCTCCCTCAACAATATATTGACCCATCGATCAAATCTCAAAAGCTTATCAACCAATGCTGATAAGGAATCAGAAAAAGAAGCACCTCTAGTGCCTTCCGGACACGGCCTGTTCACGGTCGTTCCAGCAACGGTCGCAGGCCATTCGATTCCTCTTCTCGAAGTCACCGCACACGTCAGCGGTGCAGATTTCACACTCATGCTGAAACTAAAAGCGCTAAATTCCAACTTTGGCAAATATTGCAGCAACACTCTCACAGGCTGTCAACACCCGCATGAGAAACTCTTCAAGCAGGGGTCTATTTGCGGCTTTTAGAGTAAAAGGAGTCTTTTGCGTGAAGGCGTCGTGCGATTTCTGAGAGAAATAGGGAAGGATGTCACAGGTGATTGAAATGTCACATGAGGAAAGCTTGCAAGTTTTGTTTAGGTAAACTATTATTTCTAACCCAAACTCCTTGCCAAGAAAATCGATGGGATATAGGTTAGATCGGAGAGGCGGATCATTAAGTCTTCAGTTGGCACACCACTTGGGGTGTATAGGAAGAGATGAGAAGGCAAAGGGAGAACGCAGCAGTTCGTTACTATAGGCGCCGAAACTGCTCTCATGAAACCTGAGAGGTAGGCTTAGGGTTTAGATTGTCTTATGAGGAATGAGAAGGTGTCGTTATGTGAGGGTATCGGACTGGGAGAAGAACGTCCCTTATCCGAAGAAAGATAGTGGGATATTTGGAGACCCTCCAAAGCTCGCGAAGGGGTTTGAGTGACACATGGATTGCATGGGGGATGGTTGACTTCCCTTCAAAAACTTATCTTCTTGACGTCTCGTCCTTCAGTGTGAGTCACGTTGTGTGGAGTGGTTGTCGTATGTGAGTGGTGGTCGTTTTTTTTATATTTTTTGGTGTTACTGTAAATCCCAATTTTTAAAATTTTATAAAAAGTTACTAAAAAAGTACGATAATACATGCATCAAACCATCACGGACCCCTCTACACTTAAATGTACGTGCTTCAGGTTTCTTCATGGGTTCACGGTCATGGATGAAGAAGTCGTTACCCACCACAAAATGACATTCACGACGTCCATCACAACTAAAACACAACACAACAATAAGAATCATCAGCTTCAGAAGGCGTCGACGTCTGTCGAGATTGCAGATCCGTTTCAAATGCCAGACCACACTTTAGCGAGCTACTGCACACCACAACACGCGCCAAACTTCACGGGTTTATACTTAGCGCATTCAGGCAGACAGTAACCACCTTGTGTGCAGAAAAATGTCGCTTCGAGGTATTTACTCGTTTCGGGACATGGATCGTCGAACATGAAACCGTCCACCATAAACTCGCATCGACGTAAACCTTCACATCTAAAGAACACGCTCGAGAGTTTTCACAGTTATTCTTTATTGCTAGCCAGATCTGTATGCAGACATCACACACATTGAGACCCGTCAAAACCCTGATATAGTCTATGTGGCGGTGATAGTTGAATATAGTGTGACTGGAGGTAAAGATAGGGGCACACATGAATAGTTCAGTTTCTCAACTATATTATTACTGTTGCCTTGTGTATGTGAGTCTGCTGAGACGCAATGGGCGGGAACGAAGTGTACATGCAAAATAATGCTACTAAACCTCAGGTGACCCAAGGTTGTATGAATGTCCGCCAGACAGCCAGCAATCCCTTTCAGCTCCGTAGTAGTTTCGATTTATTGTCTAATCTGCCTTCTGGCACCTCGCTCCGGTTGGAAGTTTCGGCTCGATGCTGCGGTGCGTATGACTTGGGGGATGGGGTCAGCGAGGAAGGCGACCAGGGCCACCGCGTAAATCCTTCGCTTGCCTTTCAAGCACCGCCGTCAAAAGAATGAGTGAAAGTGGCACACGCCTCACTAAGCACACGGCCCACACCAGGCCTCCTATTGCGCCGACCCAAAACCAACAGCGCTTCAGTAAAAAACGATATTGGTTTCTGTGACAGCGGGCTCAAATCTGGGAAATAACCGGAACTTGGGACAATATTTTACCAAAATTCGCTCTGAAGGGCTTGTTCTAGCTATATAAAGGACTATCGGAAGACTTCTAGAGACCCCTAATATGAAGGGTACTACGATTTCACATCCAATTTCAATTTAGGAGATGAGAGGGAATACATAGGGACTTCGGGTCCCTGTATTTACTTAGGATGGCAAAATGGATGGTTGGGAAGAATTCGTTCCCGGGGAAGCGACTTCGAATGCACCCCCGATCACTATTGACTGCTTACACCAGTTATAACGGTATCATTCTATCATCGAATTACCGTAATACCAATATCTCCTGTGGGTAGGTATCAAAGAACAAGAACGTACGGCAGGCAGGCGTTTACTGGCAATTCGTAATTTAACAGCAGCGGACTTCGGAAAATGGCTGCGGAGTGGATATGTCGGGAAAGTACCCAATAGGTGTTTCTGGGTCCGCAAAAACCCTATTTCTTCCTAGTTTCGAAGTCTCCTTCCCGGGATCCCTAGGCTACGATTTTTTATCTGGGTACCTGTGGGTACTGTTACCGCAATCGATGTGTACAACACCAGGCTTACCCCGGCAAAATTTCATTCACAGCTCAGTGCGCTTTGTCCCGTGGTGAGCGAGAGATTGGTCCCAGCAGTTTCAAGCCTACACCACCTGGTGGCTAATTTCGATATGTTTGTCGATGGGGCCAAGCCAAGCAAGGCGGCGTCACGGTCTGCAGCGTAAACATGAACGTAAAGCCCATGGGGTGCACCACGCTGCTCGCTCCCGAACACAGCTTTTAGTGCTAGTGCTTTGAAAGGGCACGTGCTAATTCGTCGCGGGTAATAATCACGGGTCACGCCATTAAAAAACCGAACGAAATTGTTCTGCAGTTTGTTTATGCGCCAGTTCACTGCTACCGTATTGTTTGCTGTAATTGACAGCGATTTATCCGCGTAAGAACAATACGAGCGACGACCTTCAACTGCTGGATACAATTGGCCCATCACTAGACATCCATCTAGTTGGTAAACATTGGACTGAAACTGCTTAATTTTGTACTTCGGCTTTCATTATTGATTTTAACCCAAGTCATTATTGACTTTTAACCGCTGAAAATAAATAAATAGCTTCCAGCTGATTGATTCCGCAAAAACGGCTGACAATCGCATTGAAGAGGCTCCTGCGGATTGAAAATTCGCGCATTCACCACTGGTGAAAGGGAAATCGAACAGTTTAAAGGAAAATTGGTTGAATTATGACTTTCGGACCAGCTTTTGTACGAGTCAAAAATCACAAATGAACCTCAAATCCAGGGAAAGGCTAAAATAGGAGTACTAAAATAAAATATAAAATAATTAAAATACAAATTAGGAGAAGCCTGTGGGGAGAGGTCTTCTGAAAGAAGAAAAACTTCTCCGAAGACCTCTCCCCACAGACTTCTCCCGATATTTATCCCGACCCCAGACTAAGCTCTTGGTAATGGTCATGTAATGGTAGGTAGAAAGCTTGATCAGCCTGGGCAAAATTCGATCCAGTAATCAACCCCAGACTTGGCCCTTGGTAATGGTTACCCAATGGTATGTAGTGCCACTTGCACCTCCTCCCCCTATATCACTTCTGCTTTAAACTATGATCAGCTGTGATAGAATTTGAAACTGGAAGCTGAAGACAAGCGTATCAGGTCTCGGTAGCGCAATGGAGAAGCACGGTCTTCAGAAAGCACACGTGCGAGTTCGAACCCCATCCGATGTCAAGAGATTTGTCCATGTTGCCCAGCGAAGAATTAATCACGGTTCTCCAGCAACCTGCGATTTATTCTTTTCTTCCGTGTGATCTTCTCCTTTACAGCCGATTATCATTAGATATCATTAAATACAACTAAATAAGGATACTTTAGCGCTATCTTGGCGATACGGTAAAAGCATGCCATGCCACAGCGACATGCCAGATGGAATCGAATTCCCCGTCCAGCCCCGATGTGCATTATGATTCCCGGAAGCGTCTTCACTTAACCGCATTAGGAACGTCGGAGCGTTCCGTTCTAAGCAGCCGAGAGAGGGGTGTTTGTCGTAATTGCTCAGTGAGTTGACTGAGCTAATGCGCGAAGCAATTAACGACGACGACGATGCTGACTAGAGGAGGATGGCCACTAAAAAGCACCATGCAGCCAGAAAACGGCCAATGATTGCAGGTTGTGTGACTATCTTGGCGATACGGTAAAAGCATGCCATGCCACAGCGACATGCCAGATGGAATCGAATTCCCCGTCCAGCCCCGATGTGCATTATGATTCCCGGAAGCGTCTTCACTTAACCGCATTAGGAACGTCGGAGCGTTCCGTTCTAAGCAGCCGAGAGAGGGGTGTTTGTCGTAATTGCTCAGTGAGTTGACTGAGCTAATGCGCGAAGCAATTAACGACGACGACGATGCTGACTAGAGGAGGATGGCCACTAAAAAGCACCATGCAGCCAGAAAACGGCCAATGATTGCAGGTTGTGTGAGCAGTCATGTGTGTATAGAACGATGAACAGAAGGTTCGACAAATGACCGACCTCAAAACCAGGTGGCCATCTGTAACCAACTAAGGTCACCATCGTACCAAAGCGGAAATGCACAAATGACAGTCGAGTTGACTGCTGTGACAGAAGGGGGTCCATATAAGGGCCAAGAGCCTACAGATTTAGATTGGTCCCTGTAAGTTCCTCCCAAGTCATGAACCAATCATCGTCGAATTCCACTGGAGCTATTTGAACAAAGAACTCGCAGTCATCCACCAAAAAGACGCGCCATCTGGCCCGATCAGCTGCTTCAACGGAACCTTCGACAGTTTCTTTCATCCCTATGAAAACACGAACATCGATGGGGCTGAAATGGGAACCTACAAGACCCAAAAAGTGCGGGTTTCGCGGAATACTTCGTCACCATAGAATTTGTCGTCAATTACACCTCAATCAATTCACAAAGACGATTCTTCTGCAAAGTACTAGGTGGTGGATTGTTCACGCGTAATTGTATGGTCCAAGCTCCAAAGAAAGAATCGTCGGCAACGATAACATCCTCCTATAGAACTGCCACCCGTTGTGGATCGTCTCAAATGTCACACCAAAGACGGCATAGCACTTCTCCCCGCAGTCAACCGCTCACGACGGCCAAGAAAGACGTCGCCGCCGACTACAAATTGTCGCTGAGCCCAACTCGTGGGCATTGTCTCCACTGAATAGACTCATAATCAGGTCAATGCACCGCCAACTCGCACAACAAAAGACCACCGCACCAAGTTTCTCTTCTCTTTTTCTTAGCTCATACCCACCTCAAAAGAACGGCGGAATACGTTACCAAAACAAACTTAGGGCTGCACATTCTTACCGATGAAAATTTCATTTGGAACCAGTGAGGGGGGGGGAGGGGGCATCGGTAACACAACGTCTAGAAAACTCGCTATGAGTGCACCCGGCTGCTGGCTCAGCTCTTCACCGTGACGCCATCAGCTCCGGGCTCAATACTCACGATTGATATCAGGGCTATCTTCAGGGAGAAATTCGTTCAAAGGGTAACCTCTTACCAATCTTCCCTTTTAA